GCACATGAGTTTTAAATTTTGATAAGTGCTGCAAACTTTGCTCCGAGTTTGTCCAGATTTATACTCCTACCAAAAGTGCATTTCCTTGCCAGCACCAGATGTTATCAATCATTTTGATTTCTGAAGACCAAAGGCAAAAAATATCTTACAGTTTTGATTTACATTTCCTAAAGAGGGAATGAAGTTGAGCATCTTTTCATTTGTCTGTTAAGCAGGAGTATTTCTTCTGCGTTGTTTGCTCACACCCTCAGCAACCACCCCTGTCCCATTTTTATTCAGTCATCCCTGTCCATGCATTTGTGGGTTCTTGCCTATTATTAAGGATAGTAACCTTTATATGTTATATACTACAAAATCATTCTCATGTCTGTCATGTGTTTTAGGTTTAAATCTGTTTAAGATATCTTAAACTATATAAAAACTTCACATTTTCATGTGATTAAATATGTTATCTTTTACTTTATGGCTTCTGAGTTTAACGGCTTCTTTAGGAAGCCTCCTGCTCTCCTAGACTTGAGCGGCACAGGCTCTGGAATGAGCCTCCCATGATGCCCCCCACACCCCACGTTCACATCCTGGCTGATCCCACTTCCCAGCTGCGACCTGGTCCTGCCTGTGCCTGCCACAGGGCTGTGATGACAAGATGCGTGCACATATGGAAAGGCCTAGGGGCCTGCCTGCTTCATTTCATTTCAGAGTCTTCGTTAGGCCTGTGACATGCCTCCTTCTCTTTCCTAAGGCCTGGGTGATAAAGGTGACCTCGGATCCAGATACACAATCTGTCACTTGGACATCCTTATAATAATCAAATTAATATCTATTATATATTAAGCACTGTGTATCAGGAACATCCTAATTGCTTCACATAACAATAACCACAAATAATAATATCAAGAGCTAACACACAAGGAATGCCCCTATGTGCCAAGCACTTTTTCTAGCACTTTATACAAATTAACCAGAACAAGAGCCCATGCTCTCAACTCCTATAATACATAATTTTTATTCACATGCATTTCCATCTAATCCTCATGACAGTCATAAGAAGCATGTGCCATTATTACATCCATCATACAGATGAGGAAACTGAGGCTTAGAGCAGTTAGGTCATTTGCCCAAGGTCACATGCTAATAAATGGCAACTGTCCATGGGGGCCCAACTTGGGGTCAGCAGCACCATGTGAGTGGTCAGGCTCTGGAATAGACTCGGGGGCTTCAGTGGTTGTCTTATCTAGTCTCCGGATTCCCTGCCAAGGTCACTGGCAGGGCTGGCGCAATCCCCAGAAAACTGCCCAGACGGTGCTCGGTAAAGGAGCTGCCTTATGAGTCGGGGGCACGGAAGACGGAGAGGGGTGCATCTTCTCAGAGACAGAGTGAGGAGCAAAGGCAGGGATGAGCCGCAAATTGTAATTCTAGGTCACTTGGTATTCCTCTTTAAACCGCCCACTTCCCCTGCCATGTTGCAGAACTACGTCCACAGTTCAAAAGAAAAGTGAAGAATTTCCTGAAAACCCAAGTACATTCAGGAACAGCTAGTGAGTGTCCAGCTGTAAACAGAGGAAAGGGTCATGAGGTCCCACAGGACGTCGTCAGCCCTAGCGGACATTTTCTAGGCAGGCAGCCGAGGGGGTGATGGAAGTTCCCAGAGAGAGGTTTAGGGTCCTGGGTCAAGGCCACTCATAAGACGGTGAGGAGCTCCGGGTGCGAAGGGTGATCAGGTTCCCCAGGAGACAACCTGGCTGCCGTGGAAGCTCAGCAGGCTGCCTGCAGGGAGAGGCCAACCGGGTTGGGTGCTTGGAGCTAAAGGACCAGGGGTGGGGCGTGGAGGACCTCAGGAGAATCCCAGGGTTCCTTCTGTGCTTTCTTGTTTTGTTTCTACTATAATTCCCTGGATTTCTCCCTGGGGGTATCACCATTCCATCTGTCCTCCGGTTTCCTGCCTAGACATCTCCTGAGAAATCCAGGGAGCCAGGACTTACTCTCTTAATCCAGGGTACCAGGGTGTCCCAGGTACCTCCCCGCTCACACATCAAGTCTAGGGTGGAAGCCCTCCCGGGACCAGGCCCCAGCCTGCACTTGCTTCTCTGATGCCCAGAACCAGAGCAGGCAGCAAGGCAGCCTGTGTGCCCCTTCCCCGAGATGGCACTGAGAGAGCAGCCCAAAGGCCGTGGAACCCAGCCAAGCCTCACTGCCCCAGGGCTTGTGGCTGGAGGGCCACCACACGCCAAGGACTCACAGGGCAGGCAGCAAGCGTTTTCAGGGCAGAGGTGGCAGCAGCATGCTGTCCAAAAAGTACATTCCCACACCCCGCCCATGGGTGGTTACAGAGATATGTCAGCAAGTCCTGGCTAAAAAATGCAATTCTAAGCTAGAATTGAGGCATCACTGTCTGTCTCACGTGGCCACTGAATTCTCAAAGACAGTACAAATTCCCAGGTTACTATCAGGCAGATATTTTTGTTACAACAGATCGAACCCCAAAAAGCAATGACCACTAGAAGGCAGAGGGGTGTCCCAGCTTGATAAGTGAGTATAAGTATTTACGTATGTGTGTATAAATACACAAACACACACACACACACACGCGCATATACACGCACACAGCATGAAGTGAATGTATTCCTGCTGACATCTTGATTTCAAACTTCTGGCCTCCAGAACTGTGGGAATAAACTTCTGTTGTTTTAAGCCCCCAAGTCTGTAGTACTTTGTTACGGCAGCCCTAGGGGGTTAATACAAGACCCGCACATTTTCTGTAGCCCTCCCAGGTGCCGGTCCAGTGGTCAAGACATGTTCATTAATCATTTGGTCATGAAAATATTTAATTAGGAGTCAACCCATGCCACGGCCAACTCCATTCACAGAACACAGGCTTGGGATGGGAGCACATGTCCTGTAAGAGGGGAAGCAGGAAACTCTCTTAACAAGGGAAGTAACCTGGAGGAGGGACCAGGAGTGGGTCTCTAACAGCAGCCCTTCAGTTGAGCCCTTCCAGAAAGTACATATTTTTTTTCCCAAGAGACACACGGGAAGCAGGGAGAAGGAGAAGGGATCTACCCCAGGGAGTGAACTGAGAATCTTCCCCAGGGCGATGTCTTTGGTGTGAGAAATGCCACCACCCACTGGGACACAGGTCCCAAAGCCAGGGAGTCCCAGGGTGGGGTGGAGGGAGGAACTCACCCCCTGCTCATGGGGCCCGGGGGCCCCCCCCGCCCCCCCGGCCTTTCATTTTCGGGGAAGGTTGATTGGTTCCTTTTTTAAAGGTTTTGAGTTTTCATAGAGTTTTAAACTCACAAGAAGCTAAATGTGAAATAAAATCCATGAACTTACACGTAGAATCCTTGAGAATTATCAATAATCTCATAAATCATCTGAGATTTGATGGAACTAAGCTTCTCCATGGCTGTGGCACCGCCATTGTTCTTAATCCACTCCAGGACCAAGCCCATGACATAGATGCTAAAATGAAGATTAAAAAGCCATTTAGTTCAGCTCTGCAAAAGTGCAAAGACATTCAAGCAAATTGTTTAAGTTGCATTAAAACAGACTTAAAGACGGTATTAGAAACAGACAAGATAAAAGCAGGGCACACGTGAACAAGAGCACATTGTGAGGCATGAACGAGGCTCAACCCAATTCCAGACCCCTGAGGGCCACTCAGAAAAAGAGGCTTAATTAGACTCCTCACCAGACGTCACATCAGTCCCTCCTTGTCCAGGCCAAGCCCCACAGCAAACTCTTGGTGACACCTGGAATGCACTTCCCTCTCCCCACCTGGGGGCGCCATCCCGCCCCCACCCAGAGTGAGCGCTTCACCTCCTGGACTCCCAGAGCCCCTCGCCCACATTACCTGTGCAGATTCTTACCATTCGCCCCTTTACGTTAGACTTCTGTGTGCCTGTTTTGGACTCTATGGTCGTGGACGCCTGGAAGCACACACTGTTCACCTTTCCTACCCAAAGCCCCAGCTCAGAGCCTTCCAGCGGCAGAGAGGCAGTGTGGCACTGGGGTTAGGATATGGGCTCCTAATTCCAGTGCAGCCACCACTGATTCCAGACCACTTAGGATTAGTGACCTCAGGAATATTACGTACACAGCCCTGTATATTGAAATATGCCCAGGTCAGGGTCTGTTAGGGTTTACAGCAGGCAGTTCACAGTGGTCACCCTGGTGACTCTGCTCACCTGGAATTCTTCACTAACAGCAAGTGTTACTTTTATAAATTTTTTAACACCTTGACTGCCACACCAGAAAAAAATATTTTTTCCCTGGGGCCACAGTATTTTATTAAAATGAAACGATCTTTTTCTAATTTGTTATTTTTTGTTTTCTCTGCATGAGTTACATACAACACAATCCACGTTTTTAGAATTAAATTGTAAATATTAATTGCAACGAGAAGAACATCAACAAGTAAGATTTTCATGAACCAACTGCAGGGTTTTGCTTCACAAGGCCCCGGGCTCAAAACTAGCGTGAGTTAGATACAACTCACATGGCAGTCAATGTGTTAAAGCAGTACGAAATATTGCCTGTGTGGCAGGGCTTAGAAAAGCACACCAGAAACTGCCCCGGAAGACTCTCTGGCTATTCTAAAGATTCTGGCTCTGCAAAGGAGCTTCTGGGGTTGATGTTCTGGCAAAATTTCTCAGGAATATGTGAGAGTAACCACCATGTTGAGCACTTTTCCCGGAGAAGAGCTCCCAAAGCTGACTCCACTACACACACACACACACACACACACACACACACACACACACACGATTCTAGGACCCCAGGCTTCCCCCAACCCCATCCAGGGAAAGGCAGTCTGGGTCCCAGAGAAGACCGTGGGACAGGCCCCTGGGGTTATTCTGCGCCCCCCCATCCTTAACAAAGGTGGCCTGAGTTACTGTTTGTTTGTTTTGCATTTATATTAGTTATGTTACCTCATACTATGGCTAAAACAAATGTAGGTTCAGTTAGTCACACTACATAAAAACTGTTTTGTGGGGTTAGAAGGAAAATTTAAGCATCTCTTTCTTTATCCACTAATCGGACTTAGTATGTTCTCCTGAAGAGTTAAAGAGAAAGACAGTGGGTCCTTTATTCCACCCCAGCTCATTGCTCAGGGCTACGGAGCAACGATTTGAGGGCCATTTTATCCAGCACAGTTAAATCGAAGTTCCCAGGGCCACGGTCATTAGGCTCTGACAAAAACGAAAACAAAAAAACATGGCATCTTTTCAAACTTGGGACTCCACCCTACGATGCAAAGTTCTGGGTGCCCATGAGCCTAACGTTCAAGGACTGGGGAAGGTATTTTGCCCAGATCTTTGTGTCTCCATTTGGAGATTGTTCTCACTGGGCGAGCTACGATTTTTTAACCTTGTGTGTTCAGGCACTCCAAGTGAACTCTATTTAAAGTCACAGATTTAAGGTTATTCCTCAGTCATACGGAATTATACAGAACTTTTTTTTTTTTCCTCCTCTTTTGGAGTAAAAGAAAGCAAAGCAACTTCCAGGGGGTATCTTGGGGTCAGAATCCATTTAATCCAGTATCTGCCGACTTCCCATTTACATGATTCTAATCTTGTTATTTATCAATCCTGACTGGCCCCCAGACGATTTGTCTGGGAAAGGAACTTTGCCCCTTTTCTGCCCTTGTTTCTGGCTCAGCCTCCTCCTCGGGCAGGAAAGGTCTGGAAAGAGAGTTCCTGCCCTCTGCCTAGCCCATGTCCACACCCGCAGTGGACCAGCTGAGCCGACAGTCAAGGCCAGGTCAAGGCCTGCACAGGCGCTGGTGGGGGAGTCCCCGTATAAGAAAGTCACTCTCCTAGGACAACTTCCTTTCTGTGTCTCCAGGTCTGACTCCAGCCATTTTCACCTCCCATTAGACCAACTGGCCTGCTTTCTCACTGTTCTCTTTAAGGTGTTTTCACCCTAATATTAACAAGCAGGTGTTCATTACACTTTTAAAAATGTATTCCAAGGTAACTCTTGGAGAAGGTGCCTGGGGGTGTGCCACCTGCCCTTCCGGGAGCTGTGCCCCGTAACCCGCTGGCCTGCAGGCTGTGGGACAGCTCTCCCAAGACAGCACTTTTCCCCATCTGCTCCCACCTCCTCCCTGCTGAAGCCGGTGGCGGCCTCGGCCTCCCCGGAAGACACACCTCACTGCAAGGCAGGCCCCGGCCCCACCTTCTAACAGGTAAGGATGGGCCTCTCCATC